TTGGAGGCCGTTCGGAGGCGTGTTGCTCCGGAGCGAGCAGCGGCACAGTGATCACCATCTTCGCCGGCAAGGAGCGAGGGAGTTCCTCTGTCTTCACTCAAAAAAGCTCTTCGACGTGATTAAACTTGATTACTGGATCCACCACAACTACAACAACGTCGACGACCGGAGCCGCAGAAGGAACATCAGCGAGTACATCAGCAAGTCAGCAAGCAACAGACGACAGACCGGAGCGGCCCGTCAGCTGACTGGCTTGATACGGGCTGACGCTGCGGATGCTGCCGAGCTCTCCCGAAGATGAGCTCCCTGCGACCGACGGAACGATAGATGTGGACCCTTCTCGGCCATCCGCTCCCTGAAGACACTTCCTTGAATATCCGAATTCTATTCCGGATTTCTCGGTATCTCGGAAAGCCCCTATCCCGAGATCTGGGACAAAAAATCCGCTCCTGGCCCTCCTGGTGGAGGCAATCGAAAAACTCACTGGCCTCCGTTCGTCTCTGTTCGCCGTTTTTCCCGAGGGCTCCAGATCTTTTTCGCCCCCCGGATCGGAGAGCGGCCGCGAAAATATGGGAATATAACGCGCAAACGGATGGTCCGGGGGACTGGCCGGGAAACGGGTACCCTGAATGTTCGCAAGCTTACGCGTGCCTTCATGGATGCATGCATGCAAAACTCAGAACAAGGCCATTTTTGCATTTCGAAACAGACTTCTTTTTCACTTCATAGCCCCTGCTTCGGCCCGCTCGAGCAGCTAGCTCTTGCCATCCGTCCTCCCCCTGTAACAAGCACTCGTGGCCCCTCAACACTGGGTTCGCCGGCGCTTTCACTGACGATGAGATGGAGCACAAACAAACAAACAGCCCCCACATTCATGCATGCATGCATACACATACAACCTAACCATAATCGCCCTGAGCCATACGATGAACAAAGCATCAAAAAGCAACATTCTCAATTAAACTCCCAAAGGAAACCTTCTTTTGCGGCTCCCCATCTCCTACTCGGTTCATAGCTGCGCCCTACCCCCTCGCGACCCGCCATCCGATTCCCTTCAGCCTCCTGACGAATTCACTCAGCGCTCAGAGCAGCATACAGCTGGATGCGACGGATTACAGCGCAGCGGCGGAAACGCAGCCCGGGAAGATTCTCAGTATACATCCAAAATCTAAACTATAATCGATTCAACGCTGATGATGAATGTTCCGAAGAGAAGGTCTTCGCGGATCGAGGTATTATACGTATTTGGCTCACCACGAGGAAAGAGCGTTGGAGGTTCCAGTATCCCAATCTATTCCCGATCGCCGACCGGATCTGGGCTCAATAATCATTGAGGAAACTACCGTGAAGTTTTCCTCCAAGCGACTGCTTCGACAGGGGCGCAGGAATCCTCAAGCCTGGGAGTATGGAGTCCAGCTTGAACCCTGCTGATACTCGCAGTCAGGACGCCGTATTATGTGGGTACCGGGAGATTCCGTCATTGCAGCTAGTTTCCTGTACCTGCCACTAAATTGGTCCTTGTCGAAGGTATCGTCGACTCGGCTCTCTCGCGAGGCATTTCTCGATGTAGTTCAATCATACGTGTCGACCTGGCAGTGCTGCAGGCTTTCTTCGATTGAGCGTTCGCTGGTCTCTGACGGTTCCCGAGGAATGTTTCCGGTCTAATTCTGATTGGGTATTCGGATATCGGAAATCAGAATTATAAGGAAGCCTGCATTCCAGCCTTTTTTCGATCGCCCATAAATGGTTTTATGTAGGTAGCATCAAGAGAGGTTTAATTCGGTAAGCACATTCTGTGTAACGGTGCAACACGAGTCCGCCGCGTGACGTCACAGAATTTTGTTCTGCGGGGGATCTCCAACTTTCGATGACGGTCAGCAGACCGATACGATCTGAGTTCGCATAAGACTATAGGAGTGGTCAAGGTTCTAGATTCGCACGATTGCCGAACTGCGTCCCTAAACCAATCGTGATCGGTGTTGCATCGTTCATATGGTGGGGACTTTTACCCTTTTCATTGAGATGTTCATTTTTACTACGAATTACTTCCCCGTCGACTCTCCCGCCTGCCTACCTAAGATTCCTCGGAATCTGAAACTTGGCGAAGCGAGCCTCGGAGCATCGTCCGACCTCTGTCTCAGTCAAGCCAGCAGGGAATTTGAACGCGACCTTCGATGCGAGCTCGCTGGTTGCAAGCGCTTGCTGATTCTAGCTTCTAATGAAAGTCGATATTAAGTTTTAAGCGGTGCAATTTAATATCGAGGCGCGGCGCAAGAAACTCTAAGCTGTTGTGCCCTTAGACGTCACAAGCCTGATAGGATTTTTCTTCCTCCGACCAGCTGAAGCAGAAGGAGACACGATTTCCCCGTCAGCGCATATAAATACTTTTATGTAGCGCGAATCCGAGCGGAGACTCGGACATTTGTGAGCGGGATTTTCTGTCAAAGCGGAACTCTACTGCTTCGCAAACTGAATCCGAGCACCGGCCGAGGGATGAAGCCGGTTCGACGAGGCCATCCAGGACCGCAGAAAACGAACAAGGTGAAGTGGAGTGTGCCGATGAGAGCGAAGTGAGTATTGGACTCGCCGGACGGACTGGCGGGCGGGCGGACAGACGAGAGGAAACGCAGAAAGGCGGACAGGGCTCGTTATTGAGATGGAGGACGCAAACGCCTCTAACAAACAGAGAAGAAAACAACCGCAAGGCACGTCTCAGACTCTAGTACTGCTCGGTCGGAACCATCGGAACTGGACTAACTGACTTCTCGCCGTGGACGTCGGCACTCACCGGAGTCCACTCCAAACGACTTCAGTTCAGAGCGTTCGCTCTGACGCCTTGTGGTGCACAACGACCGTGTAAATGGGAGCTGATGGGGAGCGAGACGAAGGAACCGCTCCCCAAGAATGCGGCCGTGTGACCACTCGATTCGGGACCACGGCGGAATGCGGCACGAACAGCGGGACGAATCGTACCTGCGGGAAGCTCGGGAATCACTTGCCGGACGTACCTTCAAACCTTAAGCGTACCTGCGGGCTCCGTCGCTCACTTGTCAGTACAGACTACGAATCGCTTCTTAAAAATCGGGCTCCCTCACCGTCGGGCGCGTCATGTTGTAAAGGTATAGGGATTACGTCGGGAGATGATCGATGCAATCGCTCTCGACGATACCCGGGTCGAATCACCGAGGCTGACCACATGGTGGAAAGTGGGGCGAAAACGGACCCCGGAAATCTCATAAGCTCTGAATTTCTGTGGCGGTCTTTTTTCTTCTCTTCACCGTGAACGAATGAAGGTCATCAGCAGTTCGCTCTGATGCTATTTTCGAGGGGATATATCATAGGAGCGAGATCTTGTTGGCGAACTAGCTGAAGAGCCGACGGATTCACTCTGCGTAGACGTCATTCATTCGGATGAGAAACCCTGGCCTGTACCGATAGCACGCTGGATTGCTCGTCGTTTGACGGAGCCTTACACGATTCTGTTGTTCCTCACGTTGATTTGACGAATGACAGCCTGGGAGCCTGTGTTCAATCAAAGAGGTTCGATAAACGCTGACCCTGGAAGTACGGTTCTCGTCTTGCACGTCAGCGTCGACGTTGACAGAATTCAAAAAGAAGTGTCCGTTCGGCTAATGGATATGTTCTGAAGATCAAGGTGATGCGCCGAAGGTGCCGCGATCGGGGCCAAGCATACTCGACTCTTGAATCCTGTCCTTTGCGTGAATAGACGGCTTGATGTTTGTCATTCTTACTCGCGCATTGTCAATCTCATCATTGGCCTTTTTGGCACGGTTATCACCGGCAAACAAATAATGGCAAGACAGCATGGAACGAAGAAAGGAAGGAGCGGGGAGAAGGCCTCGTTCGGGGGTCTGAAATCCGAAACGCTGCTCTTATTGCGCCCTGAGTTTTCCAGAAAAAAAGAATGAGCAAGAAATAAACGAGACTCCAAACGATTTCCTCATTGTTCTGGCAGAAACCGCCCCTATTCAGAAATGATCGACCCCAAACCAGCAATCGGAGGAAATTAGACGGACCGAAAACCGACGGAGATCTGGCTCCTGCTCCGACCTCGTCGCCCCTTTCGAAAAATACAGAATAGGTAAGTAAGAAAGCGAGAATTACAATGCTGTACCGACGACACGCATCTCATTCTGGCTGTCGCGTTTAAGGCATCGTTGTCCTTCTTCAGCATTTCGTCCCGTGACCCCCGGCGAAGAGACCTCCCTATGAATCGACGGATCGTCTTCTCACATCCGAAAAAGGCTCCGAGGGTACACTCATTTGAACGAAATGGTCCCTCGTATTCCGCTTTTTGGCGATAACGATTCCCGGTCCAGCTAACCCTACCTTTGCCCCGTCTTTCCAGGTTCAAGATCACCTAGGTCGCCACATTCCTTCACCTTGGTCCAGTGTCGATGCAGTAGTTGGCAGTCTGATGACGGCGGAGCGCGGAAATCTCAAGACATCGTGAAATTACCGATTCGCCAGATTTTTCAGACGGTGATTCAGAATATTCCTTCCTGTGAATCGAGCGATGATATTTGTCAGGGACGCCGTGACCCGGGATGCAAGCTCCACCACGCTGTGGAATGCCAACGATTCGAGTCTATCGTGCATCCCGAGAATATGCGGAATCAATGGATCGGCGAATCTGACGTGAGAGCAATGGTCGGGACGACTATCTCCCGTCGCTATCTGCGGTCAGAAATCTCTCGTTCGAGTTTGTCGTGTCCGAGAAGTCGCTGAGGGACCGACACAGAATTTCAATAATGAGGTCCGTTGCGATCCAGGAGAAACATCAGTTCCGAGGACATTCTGATATCGGATCGGGAGCCTAGGCTCCTCAGAGGATTGCTCAACGTGGGAAATCCTCGATAGCTTAAGAAACGAAATGAAATAATCTTGTGGGCCGCACCGTAGGCGGATACCTCGCTTCATACCCAATCGGAACCGTACAGAATTCAAGAAGTTTCCTTAATTTTGATCGAGTTCCGAAATCAGATATAGTTATTCAGCGTGGAGCTACCCATTCCGGAAGGAGTGGGATCGAGATGCGTCGAGTTTGCTATGGATAAGAATTATTATCCGGATGGTATTCTCCGAGCGATCTAGGTCTAGGCCATCGAGGACTTCATATAAGCTCTCGGAGCGGACTCGGAGGACATGTTTTCCGGCGTATTGTATGTATCTGATCAATTAAATGGGAGCAGGTGCTCTTGTGCGATTCAATGGAATCCGCCTACAATGCTGGTGTGGAAGAGTATCGAGGAGCAGGTAATGTGAGGGAAACCGAGCGGATTGTCGAGCGGTGCATGGGTCGGCGATTGTATCCGAGCAAGTTCGAGGGTCGGTGTGACGGATCCGACTCCGAAGTCAATAGCATGGCTCCACTCCTGAACTGAAGGCGATAAGACGTCAAGAGAATATGACATGAGGCATCCGCACTGTACAGGATCGTTCGGATACTATGCTGAGCCTTCATTCTCCTCGTCTTCATTCCTTCCCCCCACGTCTGGAGCCGTAAACGTGGACATGGCGGAACAGCTCCAGGTTGTGATTCCGACCGACTCGAAGGAGCTCTCTGCTTGAAGAAGCTCTGGCGGAAGAATTGAGTCGGTTCCTCTACCGACCACTTTATTCATTGGGAC